ACCCTCTAACTCCCTTTACTTTCCGGAACTATAGTTATCCGACGACTTGGCGAAACTATAGATTGAAGAGTTTATAGCCGCCATTATCTACAATAGAGGAATATACTCGAAGAAGTATACGTTATTCAACATCTTAAATGACTGTTTTGTTTTGTTTGGTTTCGCGTCCACCATATAATTCATAAATACGAATCGATTCGATTCAATTTACTCATTCGTCATTATTACTTTGTTTATAGTTATTTATGTTTCGATGTTCAATACCTATTATTGTACATGAATCCGTGCATTGTACGAAATGGCTTTGTTAGGAAATACCATATATTCATCACATTACAGAAATAGACGACTAGCTGTATTGATTCCACATTGGTTAAATATCATTCGGAGCGTGGTTGAAATTTACTGGAAATTGGAATACCATTTGGTTTCATTTCTCTTCAATATGATGCACTGAACTTTGAAATCTGAGTTAAAAAAACACATATGGCGCCCTAAGTTCTGGCACATATTAGTCCGGGAGCCCGCACATCGTGTTGTATGTGTCTCATTCGTTTACTCTCAGTAGAATAAGGTCCCCAGATTCCATCTTCCACTACTCGAATATAAGGTCACCGAATGAAAATCGTGGACCAAAGGGTAGGGGCCGCGTGGGTGAAGTTGTATTGAAAAACTCAGGGTCAATTACAGTACCTTGCGACATACACCGAACGGTAAGTAATAATTCGAGACCACAAGTTTTTTTATTCAATTTCACACACGCGACCCCACCCTGTGGTCTACGTTTTTTTATTTGGCGACATCTTATCCGTGTAGTGGAAGGTGGAATTTGGGGGGTTCTTATACTGCTGAGTATGAACAAATGAGACACAAAAAACACGTTGTGGGCTCCCGGTCTATAAGGCAAGTGCACTAGAAAGCATATTTTTCTATTTCTCAATATTCCGATATTCTTCTTGGAACATTTTTCAACAAGGTGCCACTGAATATAGATCGAATTTCTCTTTCAGGTTTCTGGAATTTTGAGCGCAGAAACAGTTTGGGGCAAATTATCTGCTTCTTCTTCTACTTCTGAGAAAGAGAAAAAATATGATTATATTCTTGTACCTGTATCAAATCAAATAGATAATCGTTATTAGAATCAAAATAACTTCGAAATGTAATCGAACAGATGAGACTTTTCATCAGAAATTTGGATAGAGGTAGATTTTCACACTCTAGTACAGATTATCATGCATATTTTCGACTATACAGTATGATGCAAATGTATGGAATAAATTCATTATTTCAGAAATGGGCGACATTTGAAAAAATTCCAGAAACACGTGAGTTTTAATTTCTGAATCCTCATCTCATGATATTCATATGAGAGATGTTACGTCACCGGTGTTGGAGTAAAGACGTGATGGACGATTTTTTCAAATACAAATAGGGGTCATGTGACACCTTGATTGAAAGGTCTACCGATCGTCTATTCAACAGTCAAAATGTTGCATAAGAAGATTGAAATTAAAATGGATTATCATGTGATTAATTGAATCTTGCAGAGGTCTGCTACTTCAAATTGAACATCGAAGGGTCGTCTAGTTGAAAAAATACGTCAAAAAAAAGTTCTAAACTCTAGTTTTTGTTTTTTTTTCGAAAGTCGTCTTGTTTTGAAATGAAGTTATTCCATACATTTGCATCATACTGTATGTAGATAGTAAGAGTAAGTTAGTTCGAAAAAACGAACTCTACTAGCTTATCTAAGTAAATATATAATTAATTCCACTTACATATTTCAACTTAAGCTGATACTTTTTATAAAATATGCACCCAGCCTAATTCGAATTGAATATTTTTGACAATAAGGGGTGGGACGCCTAATCCCCTGATGTGCCTTCACAAAACAGGCCTGATCTCATTGAGAATGCTAATACAAAGAACCCAATAACAATTCAGAAAATGAATTCTAAAAGTTTGATAACATCGTTAGCCGGCAACAAAGACGTGAAATTCTCTAGTATAGTGACACCATTCTGCCACCATATACTTTCCCATATGGCGTAACTAACGAACTAGATCGTTATCTTGTGCTATCATTTATAAAATCAAGAATTCCCTTTTGTCAGCGTCAATGATACGAATCGGCGAGCCTGCATTTACCAAACACCCCATACAATAGGTCGTAATGGATGTGGTCGAAATTGTATTGTTAAGGATATTCCGGTGGATGACCTTCCCTTATGATTAATGTGTTTGACAGTGTTTTCGAAGGGATGTGAACACAAAATATGACCTAAGGACGAAGAACGTGTACTGAGGAAAGTGATGGTGGCTTATTTTCAATATGAAGGAATCTCAAAAAACAATAGTAATTTTCGCCAGTGAGAGCTCGCTAGTACATACATATATTCGTGTACTTGGTAGGGTATATCACATAGTTCAATATTACCTTCATAAGTTTATGACTTCTTCTCCTAAAAATGTTAGTAACTTCAGTAGAATTGTCGCTAATGAGTTTAAAATGAACATATCATGGAATACGACAAAAAGACTCCCCTACTTATTGCTGATATTTCGTAGACTGATTTGATTATTGCTGATTATATCAGGATTTTAATATACCAAATTTCTTCTCGTATTATTAGCCGCATTTGAAATAGATAACATATTCTATATATCCTCACGTTTCTGTAAATGTTTTCGACTGAAGAATAACTCATAATGCGAGAAGTAAAGTGATGTATAATAGTTGGCCCGAGGGATGAATGGCACACGATAGGCGTTAGGATCTAGTAACGCTCGTGGTGCATACAATATTTCATTTTCCACGAAACAATCTTCTTATAATGATGAAAACTCGATTTTGATAAGCAGATCATTGTCCCTAGCATTTTCTTTCCGTTCTTATTCTCATGGTATGCGTGGCAATTGCTGTTATTTTGACGTTTGTTGGATATTGTTGTCATTCAATTTAGTGAATGTCGTTGCTGCTTTTTTTGTGGTCTCTCAATACTATCGGAAATGAATACAAATTTATCAATCACGAAAAATGCAGACAAGGCTTCGATTGATTTAATGCCGGAGAAATCCAGGCGCCAAGAATTATGGAGTATTCAATCAACGGAAGTCGAAAAATATCGCCATAGATGAGACCGTGTTATTAGCGTACTTTCAAGAATTAGTATGTAATTTTATGAACTACAGAAAAAAATCAACGGGCGTTATGAATCATAATGATCTTCATAATGCACCAGGCGTTATGGGTCTGATAATAACAACCGTTGCCAGGGTATTATGAAGCAGTAAGTGGAGAATGAAGTAAATTACTCAGTTGATCAGTTATATTGAATATAACTGATCAACGAGAAGAGAACTCAAAGTCGTATCTTCAAGTTTACTGGCGAAATGTGCAGTGAATTCTGTTTCAATATTTGCATTGAGACATGTTCGTAAAAACTTCGAAAAATTGAAATTAAAAATTAGCTTCCACATAAAAAATTTTGAAAATTTCAGCTCACTACATATTCAATCCATTTATTATCATTCCATTTCATCACATTTGGTTAGTCACTTGATAACAATAAACGAGTAGGTACTACATGTGAAATATATTCCTATTATTTGCTCTATAAATTTTATTCTGCCATTGGGTTTCATAGCTTTTCAAGCAAGTTTCGGCGTCTTTCCTAAAATCCGAATTAGGTTTTCGCATTAGACATTAGGCTGGCCATGCATATTGTAAGAATTCGTTCAATCTCAATACAATGACATGTTGATATTGTTTATAGTGGAATAATTTCCTTTCATCAACTGTATGTAACTGAAAAATGATGATCCATTTCCACCCGCGTGTGGAGTTTGATGCCTTACGCGTAGCGTAGACAACTATAACAGAAGGTGCACTAAAGACGATTCATCCTGAATAATACGAATATCCACACGATAATTCTTGTGACAATCTGATATTGTTTACTCTCGTTTACCAATTAACAGTCACTGGCTGGCGAGCATCCAAGATACATCCCTCAGAAAGCAGGATATGGATTGAAAAAAAAAAAAAGAAAATTAAATGAATTGTCATCACGAAATTTCCTCATTCAACGATAGTAGTGAATTCTCTCGTCTGAACCAACTCATATACACTAGAACTGAAATGAATCATCAGTGAACATACATTCTTCCATATTACGATACATTCTTCCAAACTAACGCTTGGTTCAGTCAGTCATGTCCATTGTGTCAAACGTATGTCCCAAATTTGGAAGTTCTGTATTCACTATCAGTTCATGATATATTCTTTTCAATTTCTACGAAATTTCTGTTATATTAAAAGAAATTTAACTTCGGCAAAACATTCACACCCCAGAACTAAATCCTAGATGCGCTATCCCTGGAAAGGAGGACATGACTCAGAAGAAGCACAGTCTATACTGAAATTCGTTTCAGCTAGTTTATATGCGTGTGACGAAAGTTGATTAATTTCTCGTCGAACTGAACGAAACACAATTGTATCCTACAGATAACCCCGGCAAACCCTTCGCGACGGTCTTCATCGGGGGTTCAGCAGCCAGAAAATGTAATTCGTTACCAGGCTAACTCGATTGTTCACATTTGGAAGCATGAAAAATTCATTCGGATGCCTAACAACTTCGTCAACACTACCGTCATGGTATAATTTATTTGATTAATTCGTTCATGTGAGCGGATATTAATTTTCGATGACAATATACAAGCGTGATGAATTATCATTCGTGAGAGACGATTTCGAATATCCAGAAGTTAATCACGAATTACGAAGGATACATTTATTTTGTTTATTAATTACGCGATATTTCCACGCCTTGATTGAATAAAACGAAGTTGTTGAAGTTTATAGGGCGACATTACATTTGTCCGCTTGTCAATCAGTGGCATTTCTTATCATGTCACATTGTGATGAAAAGATCATGCACATCAAGTTACAATTAATCTCATACTAAGTCAATAATGTTCTGACATTTGTTTTTCTCTTACAGTTTGCAGAGGTCGAATAGCAGGACAAGGCGTACTTTTGCAACGACAAGAATAGCTGAAGGTCGGCCAACCCTTCACTACTAGAAGGGCGCAGTGTGTGATATTTTTGTGAATAATTCTAAAGAGTTCGATAGTTGATAATTATTAATTTATTGAAATGAGATAGACTGACTATTTGTAACGAATTATACCATGAAGAATTTAAAAAAAGTTGGTGGCATCAACTATCCATATGTGCAGATCTACTGATGATTTTATTGGTTTTGACACTTTGATATAGATAAGCGATTATATATTAGAGTCATTCGTCCGTACTGATCTCCATCATCATTGGTGGCAATATATTTGATCGATATGGTTATACGATTTTTTTTTCAAATAAAACCTCTCTAGAAGTCGCAAAATTATTTGCGTGATGAATTGTATGTGTACATGACTATTAATTGATTTGAATACTGAGAATTAGATGATGATATCAGCTGATGGTCATCCATCAATCATATTGAATGGAATATCTCCATCAATTGTCTTATAAATATTAAAATTCATTATCACCACACTTGATGTTGAGAAATTTGTTATTATTAGTCCTCTTGATTTAATTTGATAATTTATACAAATATATATTTCGATATCTCATCTCTTCCAGAATGATTTGTTGCATTTCAAGAAAACTTCAATTCGGTAATCATCATTTGCTTTCCCAGAATGGCTCAATGAAATTGTTCGAAATACATCCTATAATAGTTGTATTTCGAACAATTTCATACAACTTTTATAGATATATACTATCCTTCTATAATATTCTGGAATAGTACACCTACTAATAATCTGAAATATAGTCGAGTGTCATTTAATACCATAAATCATTAATTTTTCATTCAACTTTGGATAGTTTAAGCCACTGACACAATAATAAATGTCTTGATATATCAATGTTTCCCAATATTTGCGCTTGATGAGCTTATTATCATAGGTGTATAATCTGTAAATATTTTGTTTATATTTATTACTAAATGAATTTGTTGATTGTACGGGTCTAATTTATTTATCGAACTTTTCTATAGTTGTAGATATACAGATTGATTGATGAGTGATGTGTCAAATCGTGAGTGTAGATTCAGGGAGTAAAATATTTCCGTATAGCAGAATATTTTGCATTAAAACAATGGATCTTGAATCATTTCCCACTCAGTAAAATTTATTTATTTTTTGTTCATAGTTCTATGAAAGTCAGTGAATTCCATGATTTCAATGGTCGATGATGTATGTACCTATATCTGTGAGTATTATATACGATTTTACGAATCATAGAAACGAAAAATGTCAATAGGAATTTTGTGGTTACCATCATCAATGAACAGGACCGTATGATGGTGATCTAGACAAATGCAAATATCTCGAGAACGAATAACATTGTTGTGGAAGAATTTACAAATAATAATGATGAGGATGATTGAGCGACTAGTCTGGAGCAATAAAAAAAAACTTCACTGCCCAACTCTCAACCTCATGGATTACATATTACCAGTACATTTTTTTCAACAGAAGTGATTATACCTATCTATTTCATTTACTGTAGATTCATTCATGAAGTAAATTTATGTTAGTATGAAAAATTAATTTGACGTATTATCATCATCAGGAGAAATTCACATATTATTTCGAAAGGTATGCACTTACAATTTAGCACAGTACTTAACACATGATGAACAAAAATAATATGTACGAAAATAATTAACTGAGATATCTCATTTTGGATTTTATTGAAAATATACCTTAATCTGTATCATTTTTCGACATGCCACAGCAACGAGATAAATAAGATAGTGAGGCAAGACATTCCTTCTGTTGTACTGTGAGTGATACAGGGTGGATACATCAACTGGAATAAATTCGCAATCGCAAAGAGGAATGGGTTTTTTGAAAATTCGCGAGATCAATTGAATTTATCTACATTTTGCGAGCGATATGGAACTCAAAACCCCCCAGGGGTAGCAGCACATTATATTATTTCAAATGCAATCCTATCGCTTGTGACCCCTCATTGAAAAGCTCGTTGAAACAGGAATCCAGCGTACTGATTAAATACTGTCTGTAGGTTGATTGAATGAACTTCAGTTTTGTGGTATGTTTGGCGGTCGCATGAAATCAAGATATCATTTCAATACTCAATTCATTTTCAACGTATTTTCACTTATAAAAACCAAAGGCTATAATTTCTGAATAATTTGTCGCTTACTTGTGGAAGCGAGTTGCCCGACGCCGAAGGCGAAGGTCTTTCACCTAAGAGGAACTCACTTGAGGAAAGTTGAGACAATTTATGAGAATTTCAATAGTCGGGAATATTCAGTGAGGAAAATTTTTTCATACAATTGAAATCGACTCATTTTCGATATTTCCATATCAACTTACTCGAAGTGACTGAGATTTTGAAAATTTGATTGAGTTAACGTCAAAATATATCATTACCATATGGTGACTAGATTTTTCAACAGTGACAAATTACCGGGCACATATCAGTTAAATGTTTTTCTATCTGGCTAATACTCGTCACTTGGTTACAAATACGTAGATATGATGCGTTCAAATTACTTGACGATTTTTAGTGATCGTGATTTAAGGTATTTTCACCAGTTTCCAATGATACTTCGTTTCGACCTGTGAATAATAAATGAAATCAATTTTTTTTTTCAGCTCTCAAAACACTATACAACGCAGATAGCAATGGTATGGCAGAGAATTGCCATCAATTGTTCAACACACATCATGAGCAATTGTTTCGTTGAAAATAAATAGAATGTGAGATATTCATTTTGATTTCATGCAACCCTTAGACGTTAAAAAAAAATTTGGATTTTACCAAATTGCTGGATTCTTCTTCTTATTAGCTTCCATAGTGGTCACAAGCCATTGGGTTGCAATTCAGGAAAAATATTCACTTTCTTGCTAGCGAATTTACCAAGTTGAAGTCTCCACACTGTATATTATTTTTTTACCAAGTGAGTGAAATTCGAGTATATACATGGGAATTTTGGGAACGGTAAGAGCTACAGAAAAGGTTCAATATGTCGTTATTAAAGTGAAAAAACTCCGAATACTTCCGAAGATTTTGGAAAAAAAAAACGAATATTCGCGATTTCATTTCTATTTTTTTCTTACTCTCTTTGAATAGATGTAGCAGAACGAATGACAATTCCTCATTACTTCTTTTTCTCTGTTCTGTTTTCTGTTCTCTGTTTTTTTTTTTAAATACGGCTCTGGATTATTTATCATGAATTTTATGAACTCCAAATTTCTTGAAATCGATGGTGTATCGCACTTATGGACGTATTGAAAAAAAAAAACAGAGTTGATGATGGCAGCTCAAGAACGAATCGTCGGATCTAAAATCTGATAACACCATATATAGAACAATAAAAGTAGCAATGATGATGTGTTATTCGTTACATCTTATCAGGAGGACTCAGAAAGAAAGAAAAGAGGGATCGCGAAGTATCCGCATTTTTTTCATTTTTTTGCCACCATTCAACCTTCACTGTGGCTATTACCGTTCCCGAGATGCCCAATCATCTACTCGAATTTCACTGACCCCGTATATTACATATTCTCTCAATACAAAGGTATATTTATCCTAAAATCTCTATCAATTTAGTATCTGATTCTGGTACTGGAGGTCGTTGAGAGCTGTCAGTTCAATGATATGTAAAATTAGAATCAAATTCAGAGCATCGAAGAGAAGATAGATTTGATGATGTCAATTGTTTAAATGTCTAACTAGAAGGAGTGTGAACTTCATCATTGATCAGTAGTAAAGATAACGATTTCGAAATTTGACCATAGCAGATATAGTGGAGTGTTCTAGAACTAGTTGTGGAAAAACAATCTTTCTTTTGACATTGGTGTCTATAGTATACCTGTAATGATCGTTATTGAATATCTGTTGTTACTTTGCTTTTGCTACATTGATTTTCCATGTTGTCATCTCAGTATAGTTTGAAATTATGTAAAAATCAATATTCTTTTGGGGATTTTTCCACAACGACATTCATAGAACCAAGAATTTGTGAAAATATTATGATAATAATATATCCCATTGTTCCTGAAGACGATTCCTAACTTATTATCCTAAAGTATACTTTTTTTCGTGATTTTTGTAAATATTTGTAAATAGTTTTATTAAGATATATTTTCGTCAGAATTCCAAAAGCACTGTTCTGTATATAGATTTAATATATATGCTTATTCTAACATATATATGATACATGAATTAAATAAGATCTATTGGATTATGTGTTTTAATGAGCCTTTTACTAACATTATATAGAGCTATAGAGGTAGTTGAATTCGCAATCATCACGATGGTAATGATGGAGGACTTGATCACACATCAATCAGAAGATTTGATGTAGAGCATATTCGGGTTCCGACTATCAAACTGAAATATCATCGAGAATGCAGTTTTGCCACTATTTTCATATAAAGGTAGCAACCGAATTCGAAACCTTCCGCATGATTATAAATCCAGTAGGTATCTATTTCCATAAAGTTTCTTCAGAATTTCCTAGATATATCGAATCTGAATATACATTCTGATATCTTCGGACGAAGATATTTGATATAACTGAATTCTTGATATTCATTTTGATTTCATGCAACCCCTAGACGTGAAAAATAATCTGGAATTTTACCAGTTCGCTGTATTCCTCTCTTCATCAGCTTTCATAGGGTCACAAGCATGAAGCAATAGGGTTGCAAAAAAAAACAACATATTGAGGGTAGTTTCAGCTACCCCTGAAAGAATATTATATGTTCTCGATATTGCTTGCAAAATGTAGGTTGATACAAAGAATCGGTGATTTTCAGAAAAAATATTCACTTTCCCGCTAGCGGATTCACCCTGACCCAGTTAAAGTCTCCACACTACTCCACACCATATAACGTTCCTCTCTCCTATCAATCTATGTGCTCCAACAAAATCTCAATTATTTCGATACAGGGCAGTTAACCCAGATAGCACAATGTCATTCGTAGAACGTTCATAGAATATTCTTCGAGAATATTTGAATATTTTCAGAATATTTATTTATTTATTTATTCATTATTATACATTCAGCAGGCCCTAGAGCCCAATTACAGGTGTACATAATTACAAACTAAGTGATTAGAAGTGATTAGAAAAAAGTTATACACAATTTCAGTTAGGAACTGAGTTAAGAAAAACACGTTCGAACTGTGCAAATGATGAAAAGAAAATATCGACAGTACAGATATTGTTTACACTTCTAGACATTGTTGTTATAGGAGTGTGGAAATTATGTATTGTGTTAGGTACAGGTGAGAAATAGTAATTTTCCTAACAAGTGCGGAAAGTGATTCTTTCCCGCACGTGACTGCCGTTGACACGAACGACGCGAAGCGGAGTTCGGGCAAGCAGTCGAGTGCGGGAAAGAAACTCTCCGCATGAGTTAGAAACAATATTTTTTCTACAAGCGTATAGGAAATTGATTGAATCGTTCAATTAATTATTCAAGCAAATAGGAACAACTAACAAGAGATATATATTCTCTATTTATTAATTATTAGTAATAGCTATTGTGAACTTACAGTTTGACGCATTATGTTGGTTCATTGCGGAAGCCAGCAGGCCCATTAGGAGTTTGGTCTCTAGGTTCCAGACACTTCCATGAAATGAGCCAAAAATACCTATTCTTCATTCGGTTTTCTCATTTCTTTATTGTTGCATCATTCAATAAAACGCGTGTATAGCTTCTCATACCTTTCTTAAGACTTCGTTGGTGATAACGTATCAAATCCCTATAGCTAGAAGTTTTTGATCACATTGTGGCATTTCCACTTAATCGAAAATGACAGTAACGCTGTGTCTGTCACTTCGACAATTTCAAACTTATTTGAGGTTTGATTGGCATGACAAATTGACGTTTCCCGTCAGATCAATCCAAATCTATAGGGGGATTTTTATAATAATCAATTTTTATTTTTCAATATTTCTTAATTTTTACAATAAATAGTGCAATTTGATGGATGATTCTGAACATACATACTTAATACTGCAACAAACAAACTTAAACTTTCATATTCCATCACCAACCACTTATATTACTAGCGATTTTATCATATCTTTGTTTTCCCGCACTGTTGCGGGAAAATGACACTTCCCAAACTAAATTGCGTGCGGGTATAGGGTGAATCACGCACGCTTGTAGAAAAAATGTATTACAAGCACGTGGAGAAGCTCGAGGAACATTGAACATCATTTGTGATGGGATAGTAGAGGAATCTATTTGATTGTGTATAATTTTGTGAATGAAGCATAAGTTTCTTATTTCACGATGTTTTTTGAGTGATATCAAATTGAACTCACTAAGGAGTAGGTCAAAGTTATAGCCTCTAACAAGATAATTACCATGCCTTTTAAAAAATGCAAATTTCAAAAATTTCCTCTGAACATTCTCAATAGCTGAAATATATTTACCATAAGACGTCTTTACAGTATCCTATTAGAACACCTAAATTTTTCATTGAAGCAGAAATTATATGACCGATATGATTTGAAAACGTAAGTTTTTGATCAAATATGACTCCTAGTCTTTCGATTCAGTGACTCGCACTAGAATATTGTCATCAATTTCAAAACAATTTTTTTTTCAAATTTCCAATTTCTTTCCAGTAGCTAAAAGCAGATTACTCACTGACAGATATGCACTGATGATGACTCAACAGTCGAAAGCGTTCTACTACTAGTAATAAGCTTGAATAAATTATCTTGCACGAAATACAACACTTCCCTTCTTTGGTATATATACAGGTGCACACAGCCAAGCAACCCTCACTTTTAGGTTTTCGGCCATCATCAGTACGGTGAAGAAAGTGTTGCCTATCTTTTGCACTCGACACATACGATGAAACTTCGCATCACCCTATATCAGGTATTGCATTCAAATTGTGTATGGGGGTATTTCAGCTACGCGTGTATCGAATAGGCTAGTCAATGTATCAAAAAAATTGCCTAATAGTCGAATTTGCCTTGGAGATCTGAATATTTCAGATGTGTCCACATTTTCGAATTGAGCTCGTTGAGTGCTATATTATGGAATTTTTGTTCTTGGAAATTGGTCCAAGTGTTCCAAATTGAGATATAGAAAGAAATTGGGAATGAACAGTTCGGTCCGAATAAAAAGTGGGAGTGCAATTTGAGGAGCCAAAGTTTGGGGTGGATTCTAGTTTACTAGCAATTTGTTTGAATCAAATGTGCTTTAATTCTATCATTCTGGACTTATGTCCCATATATTCCCCAATATCTTGGAACTTTTTTGCCTCAAACTCAACCCTGCCCAACAAACATTTTAGGTATAATAAACGTCATTTGGACCTCAGAATAGGTCAACGACTTATTTGGCCAAAGTGAATATCACCTCTTATTTACCTCAACTTTACCAATATGGGGTAAACACTGGAAGTAATTCAGAAAACGAGAATTAGGATATTAGGGTATCCTGACTAGTAGGTCGAGAGAACAATTAGGTTGAATTGCCCCAATTCTAGTCGAATAGTGGTCTGATTTTAGTTATTCTGAAGTTATTCATCACCTACTCATGAGAGGGTTTACTGAGAATTCTACATGGTTTACTGTCATTTGGTTGGGTTTGGAAAACAAATATGTACCGTGTTTCACGATCGACTATACCTACTTATTTACGTGTGGAGACTTAGGAGTTTATGAACATGGCATTCAAAAGAAAACTTGATAGTAGTGTAAGGTGTGGATGACATGTTGTTCAGCTTATTTGATGTTGATTTGAATCATGTAAAAAGAGTGGACCCACGAAATTAGTGGAATTATAGCAAAAAACTGGGTCGATATCTTTTTTGTTTTCGATTTTCTTTTTCAACAATTTCATATAAAAATGGATCAAATGGTAGAGTATGATCAGATATGTGAAATTTAACCTTTACTGTATTACTATTCATTATTAGAATGTGGTCGCTATGTAAATTTTTTTTCTTTTTTCGTCAATGGCGAAGAAGGTTCGAGTCAACAAATTTGGAGTCTCTTTCATATTGAACTTGAAAGTCGAACTTTCAGGGCGTATAGGCTTCGTTTATAGTCGAAAATTCTGTTTATTCTGACTATGGAGCCCAATTTCCTCATATTGGGATTTCAGACTATATCGACGAGTATATTATTTGAGTAGGAGTGAACCTGATGGAATAATGTTATTAGATGATTCCTTTGATCATATAATTTGTCGAATGTTTGTTGTTCGCCTTCACTTTCTTATTCTGCACCGCGGTATGTTTTCTAATTGGTTGCTGGAAGACATCCTTCACTTTTCAGCCAATCAGAAAAGTCCATCGCCGTGCTGTCGTTCTTATAGACATCTTTCAAATAGTGTTGCCGTTCTAGTACACTTTTAGTACATTTGCCATTTTTGTACAATCTCAACCGAAGTGTAATAATATTGACTCCTAGTTTTTTGCTATAAAATTTATCTGAAATATGCATCATGATCTGACCAATGAAATAAGTGAAAAATTGAACTTCGAATGTAAAGACAAATCGCTGGTTTAGTTGATCAAACGTCATTATAATGTTTAACCAGTTACAATAATTCGCTTTAGAAGCGTTCAAGCGGAAAACTATACCTGAACCACTCATTGGTAATTAGGAATGAAAAATTCAAAACTTATACATTGCGCTTGTCTCCAGTACCTTAATTCTTTTTGGAAATAAATGATCATTTCGAAATATTGGCCGACCTCACAGCACCAGGGTCAATAATAGCCATCAACTTTGAGAACATGATTTTTGGATTAATTTCGGTATTTTCAACTCCCTCAATAGTAAAAAATATGTGAAAAGAGTATAAATCCAACTTATTTTCTCTTTCTGATAATTTCCTAACTATATGAATGTTTATGAAGTAAGAATCTGGTGAATTTTAACTCAAATAAATATCCTGAGAGTTCGAGGGCCTTGAAGACATTTTACTGCTAATTTTGATGTTGAAGTAGTTTCCAACTATACAATTTGCCTATAAAGTTGATGATTTTTATAGAAAATGTTGAGGTCCTAATAATGCATTCTACCCCCTAATCCATAACTTTCCAGATACTCAGGGCATGAAGGTGAAATGTCTGTCGGAAATTAGTAAATTTCGACTTCTTCAAGTAATTCTTCTTCTC